GGTGTTAAACCACAAAGATTTTCATGTGAACCACCTCTAGTAAAATCTACGTGAGGTTACATAAGCTGGCAGAGCCAGCCAGGAGCATAAGGTTGTGAGACAACATTAAACATCTTTGAATAATTTTCACCCATAGTCAGTATGGAGTTTGTTGAGGAGAATGGTGTTAAAGTACCAAATGCTGTAGTTGTTAGTGGTGTTACCGGTACGGAAAGAGACAAAGAAGTTTACGAATTTCTGGAACAACATGGCTCTATTTACAGAACACTCACCATTAATGATAGCTCATCTGAACTTTACGGAAGTCAAGTCGTGGAATTTGAGTCTGGTGTAGCCGTTAAATCGTTAGCACCGGAATTGCCGTACCTCTTGTCCACGGATGATCCACGAATCAGGTATCACATACAAGCTCTAAACGACGTGTACACTAGAACCATAGCAGGCAGTTTTACTGAAACTTACCTCAATGATCTGAAAGGCTTAGCTAAGCTGAGTGGAAAAGACTTTGAAGAAGTCTTGAAAGAAGTTATGTCCACCATAGGAAAATCTATTGAGTCCACATTGACAACAGAAACTGATCTTGAAAATAGGACCTTAGATCAAATTAATGTAATGGCTGAACCCAACATAGTAGCTGAACCCAGTCAGAGTGGAGTTTCACCTTTACACCAAACTAGAGTGTTTAGTTCACCTAAACCTATGAAGACAATCTTACAAAGCCCTCCTAAACCACACATTATCCCACCAACATTTACTGCAACAGATATTAATCCCCCAGAGATTCAGAAAATTGTAGTTGAACATGTGGTGAAAAATGTGGAAAAAATTTCCTCTACTCATGCAGCTTTAAGAATACGAGCTTTTTCTGGCAAAACTCCTAGACCCTACAGTGAGGCAGATTATGAAACGTGGCGTTCTCATGTTAGTCTAATGATTGACGATTCTTCTCTGTCTCAGCTAGACAAGACACGTAAAATACTTGAAAGCCTTCTCTCTCCTGCGTCTGATGTAATCCGCCCTCTCGGACCAGAAGCCACGCCGGCTGACTACATTGAGCTTTTGGACTCGGCTTTCGGCGCTGTTGAAGATGGTGAGGAATTACTTGTCCGGTTCATGAATACACTCCAAGATCATGGAGAAAAACCATCCACATATCTCCACCGTCTGCAGGTGGCACTTAATCTCGCAGTACGTAGAGGTGGTCTTGAGCCCCAGGAAGTGAACAAACAGCTTCTAAAACAGTTTAACAGGGGTTGTTGGGATGACACCCTATTAACAGAACTGCAGCTAGAACTGAAAAATAAAGATCCCCCTACCTATGCAGAGTTATTGCTTTTTCTTCGCACGGCAGAAAACAGACAAGAGGTTAAAAGCTCACGAATGAAGAGACACTTTAGTACCACAAAACCAAAAGCAGTTTCCCATGAACAGACCGTCATCGACGCAAATATAAGCGTAGCAGCAGAGTCAAGCTGCCTAAGAGAGCTGAAAAAGCAAGTTGCTGACCTGAAGAGCCAATTAACCGCAGTTATGAAGCAAAAGAAGTCAGCAACCCCAAAAAAGACAAAAGGTCCTGAAATTAAAAAACCTGACCATGTTAAACCCAAATATTTGCCCTCAACAAGCCGCCAAAGTACCAGACCCAAGCCATGGTACTGCTTCAGATGTGGGGAGGACGGACATATTGTAGCGACCTGTGAGTCAGAGCCAAATGCAGCTTTGGTAGAAGCAAAACGAAAAGAACTGAAAGCTAGAAGACAGATATGGGACAGTCAGAATGACCCACCTCCTTTAAACTAGAATCCGCCCCTGTTGTGGGACAAACAGAGGCTGATCCAGAATTCACAGGTCCCATCAAACCAAAACGAAATACTCCATCAAAAAAATGTGCCAAAATGAAGTCACATTTAAGAACAGACTCTTTCAGCCTTCCCTGTGGGCTGATTGGCACAAAAAGTACAGCTGAACTTAGAGTTAACGGTCATACAGTTAACTGTCTGTTAGACACTGGGTCCCAGGTGACTACTGTCCCTGAATCTTACTACCGACAGCATCTGTCGAATTACCCAATTAAGTCACTTCATGACTTGCTAGAAGTCGAAGGAGCCAATGGCCAACGTGTACCTTACCTAGGATACGTTGAGATGCATATCACTTTCCCAAAAGATTTCCTGGGCCTCGAAGCCGAAGTGCCGACACTCGGTTTAGTTGTCCCTGATGTGCGTGCAGCTGCCCAGTCCCTAGTTCTTATAGGCACAAACACGTTGGACGTGCTACATGAGCTACACCGTGATGCCTTTTCTGAACTGCCACCAACAATGCTACCTGGTTACAGGGCAGTGTTGAACGCTCTTGAGTTACGACACAGACAGTCACAAAACCGTAACCTTGGTTTAGTGACAATGCATAACAGAAAGCCACAGTTGGTCCCTGCAGGTAAAACTGTAGTGGTCGATGGCACTGTGGCAATTTCGGCCAATAACAGTGAGAAGTCTGTCCTATTGGAGTACCCATCAATGTCAGCCTTACCTGGTGGTATACTTGTTAAACCTTGTTTAATAGACTTACCTGAAAGAGCACCTTACCTTGTTCCTGTCGTGCTTACAAATGAGTCTGACCATGACGTGACAATCCCTCAGAAGTGTGTTATCGGAGAGGTTAGTGCATTCCAAAATGTCCTTTCTCAAGCACAATCCGCAGGACCCACCAGATCCAAAACTGAAACTGAAGTTAAGCTGTCGTTCAATTTTGAGTCTTCTCCAATTAGCGCTGAATGGAAGGAGCATATAACAGCAAAACTAAATCAGCTGCCCGAAGTTTTTGCTCAAAATGACTTGGACCTCGGAAGAACCAATCAGGTAGAACACACCATCAAACTTTCAGATGAAACGCCTTTCAAACACAGAGCTCGTCCTATACACCCAAATGACCTAGAAGCTGTTCGTAAGCATCTCAAAGAACTTCAACAAGCAGGTGTGATCCGAGAGTCAACCTCGCCTTTTTCTTCACCTATCGTAGTTGTACGTAAGAAAAATGGAGACGTTCGGCTTTGTATAGACTACCGAAAACTTAACAATCAGACAGTGAAAGATGCTTACGCCCTTCCAAATCTGGTAGAAACTTTCTCTGCTCTGAATGGTTCCAAGTGGTTTTCAGTGCTCGACCTAAAATCCGGGTATTACCAAATTGAAGTAGCCGAGCAAGACAAACCCAAGACAGCGTTTGTATGCCCCATGGGTTTCTGGGAATTCAATAGGATGCCTCAGGGAATTACTAATGCTCCTAGCACCTTTCAACGACTCATGGAGAAATGCATGGGTGACATGAATCTCCATGAAGTGATTGTGTTTCTTGATGACATCATCGTGTTTTCTAAAACACTTGAAGAACATGAAGCTCGATTACTGAAAGTCCTCAACCGCTTAAAAGAATATGGACTTAAATTGTCCATTGATAAATGCAAGTTTTTCCAGTCTTCGGTGAAATATCTTGGTCACATTGTGTCTAGCAGAGGAGTGGAGACCGATCCTGAGAAGGTAGAAGCCCTACGTACTTGGCCTGTTCCTTGTGACCTCAAGCAACTACGTTCATTTCTTGGTTTTTCTGGGTACTATAGGCGCTTCATAAAAAACTATTCAAGCATAGTTAAGCCATTAACTGACTTAACTTCCGGATACCCTCCTTTGCACAAAAGCCCAAAACATAAAGACAAGCAACATCAGTATCACGACCCGAAGACACCTTTCAATGATAGGTGGACTCCTTCTTGCGATCTTGCATTTAGCGCCATCATCGAAAAGCTCAGTAGTGCACCAGTCCTGGCTTTTGCTGACCCCAAACTGCCTTATACCCTTCATACGGACGCCAGCACAACTGGACTTGGCGCAGCGTTGTATCAAGAGCAGGATGGACAGCCAAGGGTCATTGCATATGCGAGCAGAGGCTTATCCAAAAGTGAGTCCCGTTACCCTGCCCATAAACTAGAGTTTTTAGCTCTAAAGTGGTCAGTTACGGAGAAATTTGCTGATTACTTATATGGAAACAAGTTTACGGTCATGACCGACAGTAACCCACTGACTTACATCTTGACCACTGCCAAGATGGATGCCATGAGTTACAGGTGGCTAGCTGCTCTGTCTACTTTTGACTTTAAACTCCAGTATAGAGCAGGTAAGCTAAACTCTGATGCCGATGGTCTCTCCAGGCGACCACATGGTGATCTACTCAATGATGCCGTGTCTCAGAAAGAACTCGATCGCATACAGCAGTTTACACAAACCCATCTGTCCGAGTCTGAAAGTAGTATAAGTCCTGAAGTAGTGTCAGCCATTTGTGAGAAACATCTCTCCTGTAGCTCTCACAGTGTTACCATTCCCTTGGTTCACTCAATGGCTATGTCAGCAGCTGCCATTCCAGATGACTTTGTCAATGAGACAGACTGTGGAGGTTTACCTGTGGTACCACACCTGTCTCCAGAAAAGATCATGCATGAACAACGCACTGATCCTTTGCTTAGAGAGGTTATAGCACAAATCGAGACTGGAGAGAAAGTACCACCGACGGTGCGAGCTGAACTTCCAGATATCAACCTTCTGCTCAGAGAGCTCAGTCGACTCGAAATGCATAATAACATACTATACCGTACACGCCAAGATGGAGGAAGTGTTACGTACCAGTTAGTCTTACCTGAACAGCTCCGCGATTCTGTTTTTAAAAGTTTACATGGTGATATGGGACATCTAGGCATTGAACGCACTTTAGATCTTGCCAGGACAAGATTCTATTGGCCTCGCATGGCAGCTGAGATTGAAAACAGGGTTAAAACGTGCAATCGCTGTGTCAGACGGAAAACTTCTCCAGAGAAAGCAGCTCCACTTGTCAATATCAAGTCTACTCGTCCGCTCGAGTTAGTCTGTATGGACTTTCTGTCCATTGAGCCTGATTGATGTGGAAAAAAGGATGTGCTGGTATTAACCGATCACTTCACCAAGAATGCTGTAGCCGTCCCTACCTGCAATCAAAAAGCCCCAACTGTTGCAAAAGCACTTTGGGACAATTTCATAGTCCACTACGGGATACCCGAACGACTACATAGTGATCAGGGCCCCGATTTTGAGTCCTGCCTCATACAAGAGCTTTGTAAACTTATTGGTACTAGAAAAATACGGACGACTCCTTATCACCCCAGAGGGAACCCAGTTGAACGTTTCAATCGAACGTTACTGAGTATGCTAGGTACCCTGGAAGAGAAAGACAAGACTCAGTGGCACAACTATGTTAAACCACTTGTACACGCGTACAACTGTACCAGAAATGACGCCACTGGTTTTGCTCCATACGAGCTAATGTTTGGCCGACAGCCCAGACTACCAGTTGATTTAGCATTCGGACTTCCCCTTCACTGTAAAAATTTCCAGTCACACTCTGAGTATATAGAAAAACTCAAAGCAACGTTACAAGAAAGCTACAAGTTAGCAACCAAAAATGCTCAAAAGATGGCAGAAAAGAACAAAATGCGATACGACACCCGAATAAAACCCTCTAGGTTAGGACCAGGTGACAGAGTCCTGGTTCGAGCAGTTCGTCTCAGAGGTAAGCACAAACTAGCCGACAGGTGGGAGGCTGACATTTATGTGGTGCTGCACCAAGCAGGTGACTTGCCTGTTTACACTATAAAGCCTGAAGCTAAAGAAGGCCCAGTTCGTACTGTCCACCGCGATCTCTTACTCCCTTGTGGGTTTCTTGCCCCTGTCAAGGAAGACCTTGTTCGACCCAGTTGCATTGGCAAACCAAGAACCAGGCAGTCCCGTAGTTTACCTGCTGACAGTGAGAACTTAGAATCAGAGGGTGAGGATGTCTACTGGTTCAGAAAGGAACCTGACCAAGAGCCCATAACTTTTACTGAGGTTCTAGAGATTCCTTGGCCAAGTAAGTGCCTGGAACGGCAGAATTTGGTAGAATCTCAAATAACTGAACAAAACTTACCTGAATGCGAAATGCATACTCACCCTGGTAATTTACCAGCAAGGGAAATGAGTACTGAACCTGGCGATTTACCTGATTGTCAAATGAAAACTCAACCTGAAAACTTACCTGAATGTGGAGCCATAACGGATGAAGGAAGCCTAGAAGGAAGCAAAACAGATGTGGAATCTGTAAATGATGAACTTAAGACGAAAACCAAAAATAACTTACCTGAAGGACCTACCTGCAGTGAACCTGAAGGAGGAGGAGGACTAGATGATGAAATAGGAAATCGGTTAGATACTGCGAGCGAAACCCCAAAGACTTTGAGACGCTCAGAAAGAGCAACAACTCAACCTAATAGGCTACAATACAGTAGATTGGGAAGCCCTCTTGTATCTATCGCACAGTCCTTGTTTCAAGGATTGAACTTAGCTTTCACAAGTGCATTAACTGAAGCAAATTCAAGCATTACACCTTCAAACACTAGCACACCGATAATTGAGGTCTAGCGATTCTATGCAAAGGGACTTGCATAATTCTAGAGGGGACAGTGTAACCCGGTGTAAAACCCAGATTACGATAGTAACATCATTACACAATTAGAATGAATAATGAAATATAAATGGAAATTTACAAAACAGTTAAAACAGGATAAAAGACCAAATAAGATAAATAGAAATCTAAACATTCATACATTCATAGTTTAAAAAAAAGAAAGAAAATACAAACTTGTTGAAAATAGTCAAATAAGAAAAGCTAAAATCGAGTAAATAGAAAGTTCCAGTAAAATTCAGGTAGCAACTGACTAACCAATCACGTGGCTAGCCAGCTATTGCATTAGCCAATAGAATTTAGCACTTTCTGCTGCTCGCTACGCAGCTTTCACTTGCCTTCAGACGCGCTGAGACGCTGACGAGGAAGCACTTGCCGTGAAGAGCAAACTAGGATGCACTAGCAGCCGTTACTTGAAAAACAATTACTCCAAGTTCGGTAAGCGGATAAAATTTTCATGTTTAGGTACTGTTGCTGTGTAATAGTGACAAGTTATTTGTTACGCTGTAGAGATACAGAGGTCCGAAGACCGTGATTTGCCGTTACCCTTGGGAAACTCCGTGTAAACCAAGCTGACTTTTCTTGGTGAGTCTATTAGTGTGTGTGTGTTAATTCATGCTAAGCTATATTAGCCCCGTTGCTAACCTTCAACAGCCGTTAGAACTAACTTGGCACTTAAATATTAGTTCCTGCAGTTTGACCTTAACTGGAAAGATGGTTATAGATGTGGAGGTGATGAGTGTTTTAAATGACCAATTAAAACAATATTGCTCAGTTTATAAAATTGTGATATGAAAAGAAGTTGAAGCTTATTACAGAATTTCTTGTTGGAAACTCATTTCAACTGATTTATTGGTAATTTAGTGACTTCATTATCTTATGGTACCTACTTGAACTGAATTAATTGTTGTACAACGTGTGATTTAATTGTAAAGGAATTGATTTCATGGGACTAATGCAGATTGTAAACCACAGTTCAGCGTTAAAATATTGTATTCTGACCTTCTCTAGGTCAGGTTTTTTATTTTGGATTGATTCACCTCAGTGAACTGAAGATTCTTGTTCCAGTTCTGGATGGCGAGCCCCAGCCCAACCGAACCATCAAGCCGTGATTAACTGGTCTGTCACTCACCTGAACTCGACTTCAACCCAAGATCTGACTGACAAGGATTTCATGAACATGTGTCAAGCTGACTGACTGACTGAACAAACACAGACTGGTGACATTTCATTTTACTATTTTATTTTATTTCATTTTATTTTATTTCACAAAGCGCTTTGTTATATATTAAGTGGGTTATAAATGCTGGTAATAAACCATTGTTATATATACCTTGCTTGGTCCATGTTGTCACTCCACCACTTGCTCCTCAGAGTCTAGAATCTTTTGATCTGGTCCACTCGGTGTTAAACCACAAAGATTTTCATGTGAACCACCTCTAGTAAAATCTACGTGAGGTTACACACGCACGCACGCACGCACGCACGCACGCACACACAAACGCACACACGCGCGCACACACACACGTCAGATTTTGACAGGTCTCCAACACATTTTTAAACTTTAAAGCTAATATTAAACATTCCTCCAGAAATGGAGATCGTCGATGTGTGTGTGTGTCTGACGGGTCGGTCGGCCATGACACCTTTTTTTAGCCCGCTCGTAATCATGTCATGGAAAAGGCCAGGAGGTGTGTCCAAGTTTAAAGCGTCTCATGAATATTCCCAGAGCCACATTGGATTTTAATGCCCTCCCCTCAGGAGGAGAGGTGACGGCTCTACCTGACTGGACGAAATGATGGAGACGTCTTTCAAAATGAGCCCTTCCTTTGTGTTTCTAATTAGCAACCTCTCTGACACCACTGACACTGCTGCCAAGGGCCGCGGTGACTGTGTGTGTGTGTGCCATTTTCATCTATAATCCCCTGTGAGTCGGTGACGTGTCAAAACCGACTGGTCAGAAGCAGGATGAGTTAGTAATAACCCGACTGTCATGGTCTGTGTCTGCGTCTCCCTCATGTGTCTCCTTGTGTTCCTCATGTGTCCCCTGGTCTTCAGCCCTCCAGATATCTCTCCCAGGTCCTGTGTTCCTTTAAGCTTGGTTTATGCTTGACGCATTCACTTTCCGCGAGGTGATGCGGCTCGCGGATGGAACGCGCTTCACAACTCGCAGCTTTTATGGTTCGTGCGGCTCGTCTCTGCGGTGAGCCAATATTCTCCCAAACTGTAGGGGGCAGCATGGAGTTCTACGGCATGCATCCAACACTACACCATAGTAGAAGTAGAAATTACTGTTTACAACACGGCATTTCAGCATTTTTAACAGCGTTCTCGTCTTTTCTGACAGTGCGAGCTATTTCTCTCCAAGAATTATTAACAACATGTTGATCACGGTGATCTCTGAGAGCTGAATCATACAAATGTCTGTATTTACGAACCTCCTCCATACTAGTTCTTGCCGGTCCGCCATGTTTTTCCGCGTCCGTCCGCGTGGTTAGAAATTTTCCGAGGTGCGCGTTGCGGAAATTCTGGGCCGTGCGGAGACGCGGTGGAGGGGCGTGGTTGTTAAAATGATGCAACTTTTCCGCGCGGAGCCGTGCGGACCTCGCGGACGCGTCAAGCATAAACCAACCTTTAGTCTTCCCCAGTCACCCCTCTGCAGTATTTATAGTTTCAACTTTTCATTTGATTAGTCTCTTTAGTGTGTTTTTTCCCACCGGTGTTTGTAGTTTTCTTTCCCCTTAGAATATTAGTTATGCGGTTGCTTTTCTTGTCTTCAGGTTTTACTCTTAGGTCATGTTAGTTTCCTCCCTGATTAGTTAATTGCTTTCACCTGGTTCTCTCTCCACACACCTGCAGCTCATCTGCCTCCCATCATGCCCCAGTGTATATAAGCCCTGTCTTTGTCTCAGTATCTTGTCAGTCCGTTGTTTGTGTCGGCGTTGTTTTGTGCTCCATGTGAGCTTTTGCGCCTTGTCATAGGTTTTGTGCTCTAAGTGAGCTTTTGTCCTCGTTTCCTGGTTTGTGCTCTATGTGGAGCTTTTGTCCTCGTTTCCTGCTCTATGTGGAGCTTTCGTCCTCCTGATATTAAAGACTTTGGTTTTTTGGCTTCCTGCCATTTTGGATTTTTGGTTCATCTCCTAATAAAAAGGATTTTACCTTTAAACCGCTCGTGTCATCTGGGGTTTTCTGCATCTTGGGTCCTAACCTTCAACGTGACACTGACTCTCTTAAGGAGTTTCTTTTACACTCAGACCTGATAATTAGATCTCGCACGAGGTCGTTTCCATTTCACGCTGCAAAAACGTGAATTTTGCTGCAGTAGGATGATAAATTTAGTGCTTTAAACATGTTGCTAAAGAAACTCAGAAGTGATTTTCCACTTTATCTGCAAATATTAAATGTGCTTTAATACACCTGCTCTAACCTTGGTGTCCATATTGGGGTCCTTGAGGTCCATAAGAGCCCGTTGGACCACTCTGGGAGAACGGACCCATACTGGGATACATCGGACCTCCTGGGGATGGGTGGGGGGACATTGGAGGTCCAGACTGTGGAGGTGCAAACTGAGATCCAGACTGATTCCTCTGCATGTACCCTGAAACACACAAACACCCAAAATAAGTTTAACTTTTAGCTTTTCTTAATGTCTTAGAGAAATCAGGTATTCACTCAGAAAGAAGACGGGTTTTCATCTAGCAACAAACGGGACTTTCTCTTCTTCTACCTCCCGGTGAATTTCGACCCTTCCTTTTGAAGAAAGCTCTAATCTTTTACCTCCTGTCACTTGTAGAAACACTTTGATGAGTGTTAAATGGATGAAACATACAGGATGGTGCGTAAAAACATCCATCAGCACAAATAAAACTCACGCAGAGAGCATTAAGTGAATGAACAAAGTCCAGGTCGAGTACACACCTGGCCTCAAAGATGCAGAAGCTGAGAGTGCATGAAAGAGTGAGGTAAAACACTCTCCACAGAATAACTAGTGATTTAACCACGGCACGGTAACCATGGCTACCGTCATCAATAGATGTGTCAAAGCCTCTTAGGCCCAAACTCTCCTGCACCGTTCAAATTGACATTTGGAGCGATCCTCGTCTGGCCTTCGCTCTTTCAAGCTGCGCCATTCCTTTCAAAAAAACCACAGAAAGTTCTCCCAATCCACCGCGAACGGAGAAAGGTCGCTGGACGGCCATTCAGGGAAAAGAGTATGTGTATGTGTGAGAGATAGTTTGGCATTGCAGATTAGGGGTAAATGGATTGAGCCTGCCTGGCTGTAAACGTTGAAAGCCATCCGCTTTGTGGAGCGCGGGCCGGCTCTTTAGCGAGTTTGGAGAAAGCCAAAGCTGACACTTTGTTTCTGCTAAGAGGGCGAGAAGAAGTGTGTGGAGAGAGGCAGAAGTTTTAAAACGTTTATTATTGTGTGCACATACGCACGGAAATGCACATCTGCGTTTCTGGGTGTGTGGCGTGGAGATAAAGAAAGAGGAGCCGTAAACACTCGGGAGTGTGTTTGGAAAAGAGACGAAGGCCAAGAGAGAAAGAGTGTGTGTGTGTGGGAGGGAAGACGACGCAATGGAGGGAAAGAGCGATTGGGGCCTGAAAGTGCTTAGGCTGCTAGTGCTGGGTTTAAGGAGCGAGGACATTATTGTAATGTTTTGCTTCCATTAGGGTAAGGGGATTCTGGGAGAGGAGGAGAAAAAACACAGAGTATAATACCGCACTTTAAATTGCCTGGAAAATGGATGGGGAGAAGAACATTGTGCAGACAGTGCTAAAAGCAAATAACACATTCAAGGATTTCTCCCTCCCTCCCTCCCTCCCTGCACAAACACAAACCTTCCTCTCTTTCGGGCAAAACGAGCGAAGCTCTCAGCTGGACAACAACAGGCAGGCAGAAAAACACGGAAGAAAAGAGAGAGGTGAGGCGAAAGAGGGACAGTCAGTGATTTATGAAAACGAAGAGTGGAGAGAGGCTGTTGGGGGGGGGGGGGGGGGGGGGGGGGGGCTAGCAAGGAAAGCAGTGTACACAAAAGTTGCTCCACCTTCCTGGGCTGGGATGTGAACAGCTGGAGGTTCGTAGAGAGCAGCGTTAAAGCTTCAACTTGATCCATCCTGTTAGGGGTAATCTTATCTTACCCCCCGCTTGAGTTTAACCTTGCTAGGAGACGGAGAGACACCATGGTGGTCATCCCATTAATGCTCCTCCCCAGTCTTTCAGGCTTTTTGCAGCGTGGTGCGGATCCAGAAGCTGTTTTCAGTAAAACCCGAGAAGTGGTCATAATTACTGGAATCAGCATCCGGTTAGCGGGTTCACGCATCAAGCTTTTGGCAACAAGTTATTTTTTTTATTTTTTTTTATCGGCTTGTCGTTTTTATTGTTGGCTGTATTTTATAGTACTGTTTTATGTTTTTTATCTCTATTATTGTGCGACTGTTCAGCACTTTGGTCAGTCGTATGGCTGTGTTTTTAAAGTGCTATACAAATAAAGGTGGTATGGTAAAACAGAAGACGTCGTGTTAACGTCAACGTACATAAACCATCCATCACAATGAAGCTGGCATCACATAAAACCGGTTTCCTGTCGTATCCATGAGTCATCACGTCTGTTTGGGTTCGTTCTGCTCGGGTTATCATAACAATCATGTCTGCTAACAGCTGAACTCTCCTTATTGAATCAATAAAGCCTTACACTTGTGTTGTATTGGGCTCACTCTGACTGTAAAAGCCTTTCATTCCAGCCCGTTGTTCCCTAAACTCAACTAGCTTCCTGTTTGCTCTCTGCTCTGGTCTCCAATCTGTATGCACCCCTCACTGGTGAGGAACGGAAACAAACTTTTGGAGCAATGACCTTTTATTTTGTTGCAGTTTATGTGTGTGCAGTACAAAAAAAAAAGTGTGCCTTTTAAGAATAAGTATAAACACACATGCAAGTCCAGACACAGCACACCAAATCCTTCATGTTGGTCATCGTGTACACATAAACGCACCTCTCTCCTGAGCCATAGGTGAGCGTGTGATTGGCAGGTGGGCTCCATCTGGCCCATTTCCGGAGCTCTGAGGAGCCATCGTTGAACCTGTAGATAACACAGAGGTTCAGATTTCTATGTGACAATCCACCCTTGGAAACAAAAGCTGTCAGAAAATGTTCATCATGAACCGAGTCTCCTTTGACTGACAGTGAGGTTAACAGAAATCTGATTTATACTTGCTGAAAACTGAACAAAAGGATAAAAACAATCAACCTCTGAAGGACTGCTTTTGTTTCGTCTCCATTCTCAAAGTTACTTGATTCAAAACTTTTCATTTCAGTGACAAAAAAAACAAACAAACAAACAAACTTTGCTTTGAAGATTTGATGAAAAATGCATCTTCTGCAGACACACACTGTTAATGACAAATGCACCACGAGAGGACGTTTCCAGTCACTTCTTTGTGTACACGTTTAAACTCCAGCGACCTACCGCAGAAAACCACAGCCATCTCAGGATCATTGATTAGATGGTCATGCAAGTCTCTGGGCTGAAACTGCTCCATTGAAATCCAATAGCGAGTTGAGGGTCTGATTAGGACAATGGCAGACAGAGAAAGGTGGATTGATTTGGCCCGAGGATGGAAAGCGATGGCAAATTAACCTTTTATCTTAGAATGCAAGCAGTAGGCAACTATATGAGGAAAGGACGAGTTCTGGTGCCACCAGTTTGAGGGGAGATTTGCATCATTTAATTTAACTTAAATTTGACAGAAAGCCAAAACGTGGGACACGTTGCAGATGGTACGCATTTAAATTAGGGATGTTTGCTCTCTGCTCATTTACCGATTTATGATAAATCAACATAGTCAAATTATAAATTTTCAACACTGAAATAAATCTATACCAATATATGAGGGGTCCTCCCTCATAAAAAAAACTACATAATTTCATGTAACGAACATCACATATCTTAACCATAACCCTCCAACTGTCAAAATGGGTGTGACTCCGCGAGGAAAGTTGACCATTGAGCAGGGTTGATGGTTTATCCCTTGAGGTCCACGTGGCAGGGGTGAGGAGTGAGCACCACCGCACCCCTGCCACGTGGACCTCAAGGGATAAACCATCAATTCTGCTCAATGGTCAACTTTCCTCGTGGGGTCACCCATAAAGACAGTGAGAGGGTTAACAGATTATCCAGTTGTGAAAAACAAACAAAAACATCTTTAAAACCAGACCTCACATCTGCCATATTTGGCAACTTGAGTGAGAGAAGTAGCTGAAGTGTTTGATGTGAAATATGAGCATGGTATGTAAATGTTGTGTAGTGGAAAGAGTAAAATAATAAGATAATTTACAGTTTTTGAATTAAACGTCAACATCTGTCGATAATATCAATAGAACGATAACATCGATAGACCGATATATCGATAGGCCATCGATAGGCCGATAATATCGATTGGCCGATAATATCGCTAGGCCGATAATCTCGATAGACCGATAATTTTGATAGACCGATAATATCGACATACCGATAATTTTGATAGACTGATAATATTGAAAGGTCGATAATATCGATAGACCGATAATATCGACAGACCGATAATATCGACAAACCGATAATTTTGATAGACCGATAATATCGATAGACCGATAATATCGACAGACCGATAATTTTGATAGACCGATAGGCCGATAATATCGATAGACCGATAATATCGACAGACCGATAATTTTGATAGACCGATAGGCCAATAATATTGATAGACCGATAATATCGACAGACCGATAATTTTTATAGACTGATAATATCGGACATCCCTAATTAAAGCATGAGCCTGAAGTTGTGACGTGCATTTCAAGTTCTGTAATATTAACAGTTTGTTGTTAACATGCTAAAACTCAACATGGCAATTTAAATGATTCTTCCACTCATTAAAGTCTGTGCTTTTTCAAGAGAACCTTTTATTTGTGTGTGTGTGTGTGTGTGTGTGTGTGTGTGTGTGTGTGTGTGTGTGTGTGAGTGTGTGTGTGTGTGTGTGTCCACACCAGAAGAATTACATGACTGGAGGTGAAACACTCCACATAAACAAACCCAATTAAGTCAACATAATTGCTTTGCATAAAAATGCATAAACAACATTTCCATCTATCTGCCGCCCACTCACACTCATGCGTGCACAAACAAATGTAAATAAACCCACTAAGGCACACAAGAAAGCACATGCAAGAGCACAGACTCACATAAGATACAGTATGTACTCAAATACACACACTCACACTCAGGTCCTTTCAGTAGTGGGTCACAAATAACTACCATACTCAAATTAAGTCCTAATGAAGTGTACCAGATTGAATTTATAGTGTATCCCAACTGCTCTTTAAACATATAAAATAGTCAATGAATTCTTTCAAATCCAAGTACATTTACTTAAAGGTGTAGTTTACTTGTTAATTCAATACATTTGCAGTGTTCTCTAGTGTAAATCAATGCCTTATGAGTCATTAAATAAAGCTACAATGCTCCTGTTCTAAGGTGCAGAAGATTGCTGGTGCAGAGGCTGGGTGAAAACAGCAGGATTACTCATTTTTATTAATGATATGCACACACCTCGCTTCTGATTGGCTAACAGAACGTGTTCAGTCACGTAGCAAAGTGACGTGGGTGGGGCCATGAATGCAAATTCACAGGGTGACATAGATATGTGAGGATTTTCAAATCCTAGCATTTCACTGTCTATTTTTTATCAGAAGTTATTGCAGGAGATAGGTGAAGAAGACTATTTTGAAGTTCAGGCTGCACGAAAAACTTAGAGTGGCAGATTATAATCAGAAGTAAAAATTAAAAACTGTTTTTCACTCAACCACACCTTTTACAATCACATTGCAAAGAAAAAAAGCTCAAATCTCTACAACTACAACTACAAAATGATGCTCTTAGAAGTTTGTCCAATTCTGCAACAACTCTGAGCAGCTATTTTACTATTTACAAACCAAATATTAAACCACTATGTACACTACCGCTCAAAAGTTTTAGAACACTCCAGTTGTTCCTGTTTTTTATTGTAAATTATGCAGTTTAATGTCATATAGCACTCTGAAATGAAAGCGTAGTACAAATAAGCAATTGGAGTTAAAAAAGAAATCAAGGAATCAATTTATAGACCAAAATATATTCTAAACTTATGACTCATCAAAGTAGCCAACTTTAGCAGATATAACAGCTGAGCACACTCGTGGCATTCTTTCTACGATAGAGATCAAATATTCTTCAGAAGTTCTTCCCATATCTGTTGCAGGAGTTCCCATAAATGTGTGGCACTTGTAGGTTGCTTTGCTTTCACTCTTCTGTCCAGTTCATCCCAAACCAGCTCCATGGGGTTTAAGTCTGGAGACTGTGCTGGCCACTCCATGTTTACAAGCTTACCATCTTGTTCCTTTTTCCTGAGGTAGTTCTGTCAAAGCTTGGACTTATGTTTTGGATCATTATCTTACTGTAGGATTAACCCCAGACCAACTAGGCGCATACCAGAGGGTACTGCATGGCGCTGGAGAATGCTGTGGTAACCGTTTTGGTTCAGGGTGCCTCACTCTGTACAAGTCACAGACCCTGGATCCAGCAAAACAGCCCAGACCATCACACTTCCTCCTCCATGTTTGACAGTTGATGCCACACACTGTGGAACCATCCTTTCACCTACTTGGCAGTGTACAAAGATCTTGCGTGATGAACTGAAGATTTCAAATTTGGATTCACCAGTCCATAATACCTTCTTCCAGTCTTCATTAGTCCAATGGCGGTGTTTCATGGCCAAGGTAAGCTTCTTTCTCTTATTGTAACATCTCAGCAGTGGCTTTCTTGCTGTAACCCATCCTGTCAAACCTGCAGCTTGAAGTCTTCTCTTCACTGTTGAAACTGAGACTTGCTTACTATGAACACTATTAAGCTGTGCTTGAAGCTGTTGTCCTGTGAACCGCCTATCACACAAGCTGTTAACTCTCAGAAACATGTCCTCTGATGCAGTTGTGGCTTTGGGTCTGCCAGACCGCTTCCTGTCAGAGTTAGCTTCAGTTTAGGAGTGCCTGTTGATGGTGAAGGAAACTGTACTCACTGACACCTTGACTTTCCTTGTAGGAAAGACTTTTTTAAATGTTATAATGGTCTGTCTCTCTTCCATTGTTAATTGCCTTTTTCTCACCATTTTTGTAGCAACACACGATTATCTGCAATATAATGCTGTTCAACTGATGCTCACGAGGTTATGGTACCACAGTATGTTCCAACACTGCTTTTATGCAGACAGAGGGGATTGTAAGTAATCTAGGAAAGTTGGAACACCTGTGGGAATTAGTAGCATCAGCTTTCAAGGCTTGATCAACCTCCATTGCTGCAGAACAGCTCTGTTCCCAGAAAAAGGCCTTTTGGTATATTTCTGAAATGTACTTTATTTTTCAATTTTGAGTAACCTTACTGTTTTTTTTAAACCTCTGGCAGTTCACCACTTAACTTTGGACCATTTTAAGCCAGTCATTGAACTTGAATTACTTAAACTGCAATAAATAACAGGAAAAATTGGGGTGTTCTAAAACTTTTGACCAGTAGTGCATATCTGAGTTTTCTAAAAAAACAATATAAACGTAGTTGTGATTAAATTCTCTACTTTAAAAGGATGATATAAAAGTTTTTTAGGTGTTGAACAAACAGTTGACAGTAGAAGTGTAATTCTAGACTGGGTCTTCTTTCAAACAAACACTGAGAGGATGCAGAAATGTTTCTTTTTTATAGAACAAGGAACAAAAACATTTTCAAGGCAGACATTTTAGAACGTTTAGTTACTCAAAGATAAGCATTGTTTAGTGTATACATCTAAAAGAAAACTCCACACATTGAGTTGAATGCAAAGTAATATTATTCAAACAATGTCTTTGAAAGTTCAACACATTAAAATCGATTTTACTCCTGGTGACATTAAAGGGGATATGTTGGTGGTGACCCGACAACTGTTCTAGTTCTGGTCACAAACACACGTTACGGCTTCTCTCTTGTGTGGACCAGCTGATGTCGTTTCAGATTTCCTGACGTAGTAAAACATTTCCCACAGGTCTCACAGGGAAATGGCTTTTCTCCTGTGTGGACCAGCTGGTGCCGTTTCAGATTTCCTGACTTAGTAAAACGTTTCCCACAGGTCTCACAGGGAAATGGCTTTTCTCCAGTATGAATCCACTGGTGTCTTGTCAGATCCCCTTTAACCAAAAAACGTTTCCCACAGGTCTCAAAGGGAAATGGCCTTTCTCCTGTGTGGACCAGCTGGTGCTGTCTCAGATTTCCTGACTTAGTAAAACGTTTCCCGCAGGTCTCACAGGGAAATGGCTTTTCTCCAGTATGAATCCACTGGTGTCTTGTCAGATCCCCTTTAACCAAAAAACGTTTCCCACAGGTCTCACAGGGAAATGGCTTTTCTCCTGTGTGGACCAGCTGGTGCTGTTTCAGATTTCCTGACATAGTAAAACGTTTCCCACAGGTCTCACAGGGAAATGGCTTTTCTCCAGTATGAATCCACTGGTGTCTTGTCAGATCCCCTTTAACCGAAAAACGTTTCCCACAGGTCTCACAGGGAAATGGCTTTTCTCCTGTGTGGACCAGCTGGTGCCGTTTCAGATTTCCTGACAAAGTAAAACGTTTCCCACAGGTCTCACAGGGAAATGGCTTTTCTCCAGTATGAATCCACTGGTGTCTTGTCAGATCCTCTTTAACCAAAAAACGTTTCCCACAGGTCTCACAGGGAAATGGCTTTTCTCCTGTGTGGACCAGCTGGTGCCGTTTCAGATTTCCTGACATAGTAAAACGTTTCCCACAGGTCTCACAGGGAAATGGCTTTTCTCCTGTGTGGACATGTTGGTGACATTTTAACTTTGATGGATAAGCAAAGCTCTTGTCACACTGGTCACAGCAGTGCAGCCTCTTCTTCTTCTTCTTCTTGTTGATGCAAGGTTGATGCACTGGTGTCACACTCGGTTCTTTTTCGACTTTCTCCTCTTCTTTGCAGGCCTGGTTCTGTGAAATAAAAAACAAAAACAAAACTAATAATCCAGTCACTTTCAGAAACGTTTTTTCACAAAATCATGTTTACATTTGGAAAAATATAAGCAGAAAAACTCTGATCTGTCATAAAACATTAATATTACAGTTTCGTAAGACACCGCGTTTATAAGTAAAACATTATATAACAAATTGGAAATTTCCAAAATTTTTATTAGCTGTTTCCAAATAACCAGATTTCAGTTTGTATATTTATGTTTATACAATTGGCAAATGTGTTTTATCCGAAGCAACCTAGAAATATTTCTACCAGCATGCATGTTAAAAGTGACCAACCTCTTCCAGTGACGACATCTTCCTGGTGGTCTGTCTTCACTCCGCTCCTCTATCCAGGAATCACCTCTAGAATATTCAAAAGAACACAACAAACATGAGGAAGTGCTACAAAAACTACAAATTAAAATATGTAATCATGTTTAACTAATTCTGGTAGAGATATGATGGGTAGCCACGCATACAGTAATTTTTATAATAATTTAAATCTACAGATTTCTCACTGGCAGCCCAAATCACCTGTGTTATTAGGATAATGTGCTGCAGACTGTTTATGCTCTAATCAAACAGATTTAGATGACAAAACTGCTAAAATCTAAAGTTTACAACAGTAAGAGTTTCAAAAAGCCTCTCCTAAGGGACGGAGGAGCATAAAATCTTCCTAAAGAGCAAAAGCGTTATTTTTCTTACCGTTTTTTGTAAAGATGTTGTAGAGATATCCTCTGCAGGTTGAAAATGTCCTCTCATACATCACAGAACCAAACGGGTTAGAAAAATGCAGCATTAATTTCATGGTAACTAAGCAATTAGCTGAAAAATTCTAGAACCAATTTTAAAATGAAACAAATAACAAATCCTTTTAGAACTTTTCTGTTTTGGCCTCATTTCAGAGCAAATCACCCCCAACCAGATTCTTATTCAACTCCCACTTGCTGTTTGAAAAATGCAACAAATGCTGTTGCCTAGCAGACCGAGAGGGCCGAGCCGCTAACACACACACACACACGCACGCACGCACGCGCACGCGCACACGCACACACACACACACACACACACACACACACACACAGGCTCACAATGACATTGTGACATCATATGGTACCAGCTAACATTCTAGGGTACCTCTCAGCCATTAGCGATGGCAGATTTAAATTCAAATGCAGTGCAGAGTTTTTACCTGACAACGGCACAACACCGACAGTTTTAGGCAGAAATTTTCAATTTTAACTAAAATAAATGAAAGTGCTAAACTATTGACTGCACGTGTCTGCAGCACGATTACACACATTTATATAGTTTATCATAAAAATAAGTTGATTTGGGGGTGACTTACTCTTCAAAAACAATGGGTGTTTCTCAGTATGAATGCATATCTGTACTTGTGTACTCATGTCCTTGTGAAAGGTCATCAACAATGGCCCAAGGACTGTTCCAGTATGCATCATGGCAAGTTCGCTCAAAGTTCCCAGATGTGTTTTCGCTCCACCCAACGTATCCAAGCTGCATTGATGCATCCTTCTGCAGACTTGGGACAACAAAGTTTCCCATAATGTATTGCGTCACAAACTGTGGGTGCAAGTGGGGTGGTGGCATCAGCTGGCATAGGCCAGACAATGCCCGCACTGCCCCCTCACCATGGAATACACCTCATCAACACACAACACTATAATGGAGCAGGCGGAGGGAGACTAGGGGTCTTAGCACACCTCTGTTGTTGCTTGGCTTCCTGGGGCTGGAGGCTTGGAGGGAGATCTGGCCGTCTGGTTGGGGTCTGGGGTGGTGGGTTGCTGTGCTCAGCGTTGGGCGGGGGAGCCTGCTCATCAGCACCCCAGGAGAAAGGGTCAAACTCTGGTAACCGGTGATGGTTGTACCCCATGTGCAGCAGTACCTGGACCAGAGTGAATAGGGTGTGTATGGGGAGCATGAGTGGGTGTCCGGCGTGCATTTTTGTAAGTCTTTGGTTGTATGTGCATGTGTGAGCATGAGGGAGGGAGTGTGTGACTGTTTGTGTATGACTGTATATGTCAGGTGGGGCCTTTGACTCCTCCCTTCTCCTGGGACTTCTTTTAATGATATAGATCTTCGTCTCCCCTCCCCCACCACACCTGTTGTGGAGTGAGGTGCCTTGGTCTGCCTGAGTGGTCGTGGCTCCCGGGTCAGGGGGTTTAAGATTTTTGGCATCTGCCTGATCAATCCCGGTGGCGGCCTGGTGGGGTCTGGGTCCCTGAGCTCTGCTGGGTCCCTGGCGGGGGGTGCTCGCCCCTGGGTCTCGGGCTCGGCCGGCTAGGGGGTGGGAGGCTGCAGGCGGGCCTGAGGGCTTGCCGCTGATGTCTTCCGGGACTCTGCCGGCTGCTGGTTGTGGCCCCCCGGGGCGATCATCTGTGCCTCTCGAGGGGTCGGGGGCCTTTCTGGTTGCAGTCTCCTTGGGGTTCCTGTGTTCTGGGGCAACTCCTGGATCTCTGGGACTTGGAGCTCCCCCGGTCTCCTACGCATCTTTAGGGGGCAGATCTGTGGTCCCTCACACTCTCTGTTGGATGCTCCTATAGAGAAACCTTATATAAACAAGCGCGTGTACACACACAGGTGCTCACATGGTGCTCTCAAAAGTATGGACTTGGGCACGTTCAACACAAGTCTTAAGACTATGGTGGGCACTTAATGCACTGTGATTTATTATCGTCTGACTGTTCACTTAAACAATGTTAATTATATATTTCTTCGTCAACTTGACGCAGTGATAGCTTGATCTTGTTGTATTGTTGTTGTGTCCCATTTTTTTTTTTGTTTTTTCTTTTTGTTTTTCTTGTCTCTTTCGGCAGGTCTAGAAGCCCCCCCCCCCCCCCCCCCCCCCCCCACCTTTTGTCTTTTCCTTTCTCTTTCACCTCTGTCTCCATGTCTGGTCGGAATTACAAAGCATTTAAAAACAATAACAATAAAGTTTTAAGTATCAGGTGTGACATTAAAAGCAGACGCTTTGATGTTCCACCTGAGAGTAAATCTGTAAGGCTTGTTACCAGCATTCAGACATCAATTCTGTTTGCTTCACAGCCAGACAGGACAAGGTTATTTAAAAAAAAGAAAAAAAAAAAAGAAAAAAGGATTGACTCTATAGTGTCCTTGCCAAGAACATACAGGCCAAAAGTTTGGACACACCTTGTCATTCAATGTGTTGTCTTAATTTTCATGACCATTTACATTAGGAGATTCTTGCTGAAGTCTTTAAAACTATGAATGGAGTTATGTAAGGTGAAATAACTGATGTAGTGTAACAAAAGGCCAAGTATTTTATCAAAATGACCAAAAGTCAACTTTGAACTTGCATGCCTAAACTACGTCTTCATACAGGTCAATCTGAAACCGTGGTGCCAATATGACGTTGGTGTGCGGAGCGCACGAGCACACGTTCAGACGAGTACAAATCGTGAGAAACGGCCATGAAGATTATTGCTAGGACTTATGTTAAGTTACTCCCTGTAGCTCGTGTACTTCACTTGAACTAAAATCTAACACACACACACACACACACACACACAGACACAGACCCCCTGCCTCACGCTGGAATAGCTCCAGCGGCGCCGCTTCAAAGAACGAATATTCGATTAGAGTGTCTGTCACCATGTTGCAGGAGAGAATGGGAAATATTAGTATGCAAATGTTGAAGCAACTATGAGAAATTACAGCTACGTGCTTTTATGTATGTGTTGTTTAATGTGTTGCCCATGTAAAAATCATACTCTACTGCACTGAGCTCAGCATTTGAAACTAAAAGAGGCTCAAAGTATTAAAGAAATATTAGGAAATGGCTATTTCTACTATTTGACTGCTTTTAATCAGCGCAGGGGTCCTCAGTTATAATGGTCCAAGGGCCACTCACAAAAAAGACCCAGAAGCTGCTGCTGTTTGGATCGCCGGCTGTAATACACATAACGTACAAGCTTGCAATATAAAGCAGGACTACACCTGTCCCGCTCCAGCTCGGCTGTGTGACTGCACTAACCTGTCCTGTGTGCCCCTTTATGTAACCCTCATGTCCATGCTGTCTCCGGAGGAGCAGATAGGAGACAAGATCTCCTGTAACTTAAAATAAACTAAAGCTTCCTCCCAGTTTCTCTTTAAGCTGAATTTAACATCAGTTTATCATCAAGAAACAAAAGAATAAAGTGGAACAAAAACTTCTATCTTCTATTTCTCTCTCCTGTTAACTTCTCCGTGTCCCTAAATAAAAGAGACAGATGATCACGCTGCAGTTGCCGTCCCTCACCCCGCTCCATCCCCAAGACCGGATCTCCCGACATCACAGCACTCGGTCTGACGGAGCGCTTCCAGGAGAAACAATAATGAAAATAATAACGCATGTTTGGAGGAACGTCCCCCGATCCTCTCTCTTGTGTGAGCAGACAATCTCCCTCTCCCTCAGTCGCTGACCGCACGAGCGCGACAACCTGCTCAATTAAAATAACTCACGGCCCAAATCCAACAGAACCGATCGGGCTGACTCGGTTCGGGTTCGGTCTCAGGTTATAACTCCAGCGCTCAGCCCTGCAGTACCACATCAAGGCAGACCAAAGATTCCAACCCTGTAAATGTGGAGAACACCGCTCTGACAGATGTGGATGCTGCGCTGGTGCCGCTGTTAAAATAACAAAACTACATTCCACTGTAATTGATTATGGTCCTCTTCTATGATGCAAAACTGTTTATGCCCGCATCTCAAGCATTGATTATTTGATTATATTCCTCAGCTCTATCTATCCTAAACCTCCCGGTCGGCCGTCGGGGGTGGGGGGTGCGCGCAGGGTTTGGGGGCCACAAAGATAGGACTCGCGGCCCGGACGTGGCCTGCGTGCCACCATTTGCGGACCACTGAGCTAGAGTATAATTCACTTGGGATAAACGGAGATCCATTTGAACACAAAACCACTTGTATGGTGAGAACAGAGTCAAAAACACCTTAAGCCCCCTTCAGACAGGCCATGAAAAACGGAAATGTTCCGGACTCTGTCCGTAAGACCTTTGTGTCTGAATACAAACATCCGGATAACGTTTTCCGTAATTTAACCGGATGACGCCCCTAGTAACAGGTCCGGACTTGTTACGGACAAGGTGCTGCTTCAGACTGGTGAGGTCGAGTTCCGGAAAGGGAGGAGGGGGAGGAGGAGGGGACCGGGGGATGCTGTGCGCACCTAGATAGCCCACTCCTGTAGCATGCGGCGAACCACGGCAGCTCGCCTCCTACGGTACCGTCTAGACGCGCGACGGAGCGCTTCACACTGCTTCAGTGATTCCTTTAACCATTGAGCTTCATCATCCAGGTCTCTTATGCGTCTTCGTGTGCGCAGAATTAGGCTTAGCATAAGTCCGATCCCCCCCCCCCCCCCAGACATCTGGAACTTTTCCCTGCTGTGTGAAGGCAGCCGAAAGGACAAGTTCCGGTACAAAAGTGGTGTGTCTGAAAACACAGTTCTGGTTAAAGACCGGATTGAATTGTCCACACATGTTCCAGAATGTCTATCTGAAAAGGGCTTTAGAGACCTCTGTGCAGAACAGGGCTCTCTAAGAGCAGCAAAAAACTCTTAACTCATTCACTGCCATTGACGACTAAAGTTGTCATTTGCATTTTTTTACTGTGTGGGCGTCGGACGAGCCCCCGCACCGAGAGAACAAACATCTCAGCTCTGAAGCCGATCTTCATCTGCATACGTCACATGTCACATGATCAGGAAGCAGAACATCCATGTGTTAGGAGATCGTTTTGGGCCGCTGCAGTAAAAAAAAGTGAGGCGCGAACCGGAAAAGCTTCTGTCGATCACAATTCAACAACGGCTTATGAAAGAACGGATAACGCTCGAAACGCGCGGATTCTTCCTGATGTAAGAGGT